GGAATAGAAATCCATATGAAATGTGGAAACTCGTGTTTTTGTTTGTTTCTTTATTTGAAAGAAAATTAGAAAGTCAGTTTTTTGAAAGAAATTTTGAGATCCAACGGCTGTGGTAAGTAAGTAGTGTTTGTGAACTTTTAACTTTGAGATTCAACTACTTACTGTATGAGAGTTTATATGGGAGAGAGAGATCGTGTCTGAATAGTTAGTGATGCTGCTTCAATTTTTTTTTGTCGCATCATTTTTATTTAATGTTGTTGTTGTACTTGTATGCATTTTAAGTGAAATAATATTGTGTTTGTAGAATTTTTATATATTTTAAAATGTTCAAAAAAATAAATCACAAAGGTACGAGTAAAAATTAACTCAAAAAACAACAAAAAGTTAGAGTTAAATCATTCTTAAGTAATTTAATAAAGTTGTAAACTCAAATTTTGAGTGAAAAAAGTTGGGGAAAAAACTATTTCATGAGGTAGGATTTGAGATCATCTTTAAAGTTAAATGCTTAGGATTCATAGTGTTTGCCAATAAATTAATTGAATCGGCTCCCATCTTTCATAATCTCTATTTCATCATCATTACATTTATCTAATGTCATAATTATCTTATGTTTTTTCAATATTATTTCAAAACTCCTTCCTTGATGTCAAAGTTAATTATGATTTTTTTTTCTTGACAAGTTGAAGAACATGAGCAACTAATCTTGTTAGCATATACGGATTAGACTACTTAGATAAGGCAGTGTGGCCGTCCCTTTCACCAGAGTTAGATCCTCCCTTTTGTACTTTAGAGTAGTTTAGATTTGTTTAAAAAATTAATATTTTTAAGGAAATTCACCAAATCTATAATCATGTCTATGTTATAACTCTTATAAAATTAGTTGAATCTTGATGTATTAATAGTAAAGAAAAAGAGAATTGTTATTAACACTGCATAATAGTCATATGATAACATCTCCCATAAATCTAAATAAATAAAAAAAGTTGACTAGTAATAATACATATAAGGAAACATATTCATAGAAATCCTTCTGTGGTGATATTTTTGTGCAACTATAATATTGGGACTTTTCTTTCTCTGTTTTTTTTTTTCATTGCAGAATTTTTGGATCATTAGGTTGGTTTGTTCTAGACAGTTGAACTTGAGATTAAATATAATTTTTTTCAAAAAAAAGGAAATGTTCCCATTCCCTCATGCTCTCATCTCTGTAGTAACAATCCAAAAAGAAAAAGAAGGAAAGATCATTTGCTCATATCTTGTTGTCCTGGTTTGGTTGAGGAACACATCCCAGTACTATAAACAGAGAAAACCACAAGGGAATTTAAATACACCAACACATTGGACCCCTGTAAGATCCAAGCCCCGTGTTGCAAACTTCAAAAAATCATAAAGGTTTGCAGCCTGCAACAAAGATCGCAATTTCTTTTATTGAAAAGCAAAAACCCAAGGCCAGTTTTGTGCTAGAGTATAGAAGAAAACAAGGGTGAATGGAAGTGAGAATGAGAGTGGAAATGGGATTGAGAGGGAAGGTGAGAGGAGAGGATGAGAATGAGTAACAAAGGTGAAAACAAAAACAAAAAACAGAAATCTATTTCAAATTGTTTTCACTTTTGTTACTCATACCTCTCATTCTCTCTCTCAATCTCATCCTCACTTCCATTCTCACTCTCATTTTCCTCTATACTCTAGCACAAAAAATGAAAACTAAAAACTAAAATTGAAATGGTTATCAAACGGGCCCTAAACTACTTAACCATAGATCCTAGTAAGTGATGCTCATGTAAACCACACACTGCATAATAGTTCTCAATAAAATGAAATAATCTAATAATGAGATAAAAATGATTGCAGAGATCATAACCAGGGCTTTAACTACTTCATGTCTTGTTGATTCTGTGCCCCTGTTATGTTGTGGCATCGTTTGGTGTTGAGAATTTTGAAAGTTGTTTGAATACCAGTTCTTCTATAATCCTCAATCAATCCAGAAATATTACAATCAAGGCCGCAACCAAAGCATGATCGACAGATCCGGGAAATATAGTCAATCGAAACTTTCCCCTCTTTGGAAAAAGCTGGTGCAATTTGTACATCAGACTAGTCTGCAACAAGACATAACAAAAGAAATAAGACCATAACCAAGAAACAACACCTTACACAAATTTCTAAGAACAAAACGATTCATGAAAGAAATATCTGAAGATCTGTGTTAATGGACTGCTAGTTTCACCACTTTGCAAGTTCAAAAGCCGTAATATCTAGTAACTTTGAATGTGCATGCTTAAACAAGACACTTCATGAACATGTTACCACAACACTCTTCTATGATAATCGAGTACCAAAGAGCTTGCTTAAATCTTTATACACGGGATCTGAGAACTTGTTCATTCATATCACCCATGGTGAGTAATTTGTTAACTTCAACCTGATTACAATAACTATGCAAAGGGCTCCATTTAGGTTCAAGAAAGATGCTGATCCAAAGGATACTACATTGATCCCATAATTCAATTTTCCCAAATAATAGACCTGAGCAATGATATATTAACTGGTTTGCAAAAGCCATCTACAAAGACAATAGTTGTGCTGATGAACTTTCATGCAACAGTCTTCAAAGACCCATTGTTGGTTAGAATCCTAAAAGGTGTACCAAGTTTGAAGTACAAAATCATATGCAAGAGCAACTCATACAACTCTTTCACTTGAATGAACTAGCAGTCATTTCAAATGTGTATCCCTCTCTCATAAAGCAATCATACCTGAGCAACTATGTCATTGCCTATGTAGATTGTGCAAGATCTTTGGTAAGGGAAGCCTTTCACTTTGAAATCACAGGTTGAATCTGCTGAATTCTCACCAACAAGAAAAACCTCCAACTCAGTTCTGGTAAGTTTACTTTTCGTCCTCTTCACTCTGAACACCAAGTCCTTCTCCCCAGCATCACCACCCTTGTATCCTTGCCAACATCCCTTCTACAACTCCCCAAAAAGAAAAAATTAGTACCCAAAAGGAAAAAGCAAAAGAACAAGAAAAGTTTTAAGGAAAACATTCTCGGGAAACAAACAGAGGCCAGAGGGGAGACTCACATCGTTACGGCACAAAGCAAACAGAGGATTTCCGGCGGCGTCAAGCAACACACGCTTATTAGATGAAGACGTCAGAGATTGACGAGTGACCTTGTAAACGGGGTTACCAGAAGAATCAACGAAACCCAATTCACCACGTGGCAAGCCAGGATGTTTCTTGGACACAAAAAGATCGACTGGGATTTGTGAATTCGTGCAGGGAGCAGGAACTGATGTTTCCATGAAGTCAGTCATGTTGTTGTGACCAATTTACAGAAGCAAGGAATTCATTTGAATCCCAGAGCATGATAAACCAAAACTTTGAGAGCAAAAGAGAAATAATTTGGTGTTGAGACAATTGGGTTTTAGAATTTGGCGTGGAAACAAATGGGTTTTGGTCTGAGAGGTGGAAAAAATCAGCGCCTGGTTCTTCAGCCGGCTTTATTTGAACTTTTCCAAAGACAAAAGAGAGAGCTGGTGACTTGGAACTGAATTTTCCAGCTCAACTTGGTCCCAATTGGAAGAAGAGACCTTAGATGTTGGAATATAATTAAACCGTATAGCCGGGCGGCTCTACTATTAAAATATTCGCATATATTTAAAGTTTATAGCCGGGCGGCTCTACTCTTTAAATAGATATTTTTAAACATTCGTACACACTTAAAGGGCGTAGCCGGCTATACTCACATATTTAAATATATAGCCGGGCGGCTATACCCTGTTTAACATTCGTAGAATATAGCCGCGCGGCTATACTCTCTGAACATTCAAATATATTTAAATAGTATCGCCGCGCGGCTATACTCTTTAATATAGATATTTTTAAACAGTCTTATATACAGACGCATATATTAAGAAAGTATAGCCGCGCGGCGATATTATATTTTTGAACATTCGTGCATATTACAAGAGTATAGCCGAGCGGCGATACTAGTTTAAATAGTATAGCCGTGCGGCTATACTGGTTTAAATAGTATAGCCGTGCGGCTATACGTTTTAAATAGATATTTTTAAATATTTATATATATATACTATATCCTCTTTAAATATTCGTATATTTAAACAGCATAGCCGTGCGGCTGTATTGTTTAAAAATTCAAAAGTATCATTTTTAGGAATTTTTGCGTTGCGCCACCCAATTACAAAAGCTTTCAAATCCTAGAAGAAAATTAGAAAGAGAAAGGAAATCCAGGAAAACTTTACACCATGTTAAAAGGAATAAACACCACCACCCGCATCTTAATCTGCTATAAACACAACTTCTTCACTCCTACCACCATCACTAACATCATTAAGAATAATAGAAGGGAAATAATATACATTTGAAAGATCAATACCTAAAATAAGTTTGCTGTGCTTGACTGACCCGAGCAGAGTTGGAGGATGCTGCTGAGTTGTTTTTGTTTTATTGTAGTTACTGTTGTTGGTGGTGCTGGTGATGGCTAATGGTGTGGATGGGGAAGATGGGTCTTTGGCACAGGAAAAGAAGAACATGGAGAATTGGGAATTAGGGCTGGGAATCAGTGAGAGAGAGGAAATGCAAAATTGAAGTTTCATCTTAGATAGAGAAGAGAAGAAGAAAAAAGCAAAATTTTGAGAGAGAGCAGAGACCAATTTCACACGACAAAAGATTGGGATTCTTAGAGCCAACAAAGGTTAGACCTTTTGTGTTCCTACACGTGCCTCTTGTTTCATAAATAAACCCAACACCGCGTACCAATATTTGGGTTTTTGAAGTTTCCCAACATAAGGGGACCTTGTCTTGCCATTGCTTAGTTTGTAACTTGTGAAGTTCGAAATTTTGACAACAAAACAAACCATTATGGATGCATTCTGTTTTCAAATTTGACCTCTCTCACCAATAATCTTCAAATGTTCACAATGATCATAGAAAGGGGGAGACGCGCATGTGAGAGTCAACCTCTAATTTGACCTCTCTCACCAATGATTTTCACAAGAGCATAGTCCATCTTTGAAATGATGAAATCGGTTTGAGTCCCTTGCAACAATCTCCCTCCCTTCAATCTTTGAAATTAGACCAGTTACCACATGACAGTCTACACACACTCTCAGATTCTTAACTATAACAATACGGGTACCGGGAGGTGTGCTGATTAGGCCAAGACCAATTGCCAGTTTCTCACTGTGACCAAGAACTATCTCCTCCTTCGTTTGTTCATCCACATTCTGCATGACCATGCTTGTGTCTGGCACATACCCATTAGCTTTCAACTTTTTAAATAGATGTTGTAAATAGTTGTAGATCTCTTTGCTTAGGGGATGGGATCTGTCTCCGGATTGAAAGCTGTGAACTGTTTTGTTAATCTCAATCCAGGTACATGCCTTCTCTTTTCTAATTCCTCTATCTAGCATCAGTCTTCTCACTTTCGCCACACCTTGCAAGTCCCCAACAAGCCCATAGAAGTTGGATAGTAACATATAGGCCCCTGCTTCTTCAGGTGCTGATTCAAGTAATTTCTTCCCAACACTCCTTGCTAGCTCCAAATTCTTGTGGGAGCAGCATGAGCTTAAAAATGCTGTGAGAAGCCTTGTGTCCGGCTGTACAGGCATCCTCTCTATGAATTTATAGGCCTCACTGAAACACTTCGATCGCGCTAGGAGATCCACCATGCATGTATAATGCTCCATCATGGGTGCGATTGAGTACTTATGCACCATGGTGTTGAAAACCCTCCATCCTTCTTGTACTAATCCAGCATGACTACAGGCATACAAGGCACCCAAGAATGTGATTTTGTTTGGTGCAACACCTTCCACTTCCATTGTGTCAAATGCCTCCAAAGCTTCTAAGCCCCGGCCTTGTTTTCCATAACCCGTGATCAAAGCAGTCCATGAAATTACATTTTTTAAAGGCATGTTTTTGAAACATAAGCAGGCATCTTCCATGCACCCACATTTAGCATACATGTCAATAATAGCATTTCCAACTGGTAAATACCCCAACTCAAAGCCATACTTAATCACCAAACCATGACATTGTTTACCATTACTCAATGCTGCAAGATCGGAGCAGATTGAAAGAACACTAACCATGGTCATAACATCAACTTCAGCTCCTTCCAATCTCATTTTCTCAAAGAAAACCAATCCTGTTCTTCCTTCAGAGCTATGACCGAGACCCGAAATCAACGAATTCCAAGACCCGGCGTCTCTTCTTGACATGTTACTAAACAATTCAATTGCTTCCAGTGTTAAGTGAGACCAACACAACCCAGAAATCATGCTGTTGGTGGCAATGACATCTCTTTGAGGCATTTCATCAAATATAAGCCGAGCTTCTGTGATATTGTTGCATTTAGAGTACATGTCAAGAAGGGACGTCATTAGAATCATGTCTCTATTGAACCCATGTTTGATCGCCGTGCAATGAAATTGCTTGCCTTCTTTAATGGCAGCAACTCTTCCACAAGCTCGCACAATTGCTGAGAGAAGAAACTCTGTGATTTTGAACCCATTTTTCAGGACTTGATGAAACAAAACTATTGCTTGACGACTTTGCCCCTGGTGTATAAGATTAGTGATTCTCTTGGCATTTGATATAGTTCCATGCATCATCTTACTCGAGGTTATTTTGGGAATTGAGTGGGATAGATTACAGTCAAACCTTGGCGACCTTCATTTGATATTTTGAATGGATTCTTCATTCTGGCTCTAAACATGATAATTTTACTCATGTAACCCACCCATCAAAATCCATAATATCCATTTTACCCTTTTTATTATTTACTTGACATTTTTTATTTTATTATCAAATCATTATTTGCTGAAATGAAAAATTATTTATTTTTATCCTCTTATGATTAAATATTCAAATAAATCCAAAATTGTCCTCATTTAAGATCAAGAAGCTAGCCAAATTATATATGCTCTATGTTGGTTCAATTTATTCAGATTACATGCTAAGTCCAAATGTACAATACAAGGGGTTCTTCTAACAACCTTCTACATAGTTTGTGAAAATGTCAACGTACTCTCATTTAAGAAAAATGAAAAGAATTGCATCTGCCATCTGGTAACGTTGTTAACATATTATTTAATGGATTTTACGGTGGAGGTAATGTGGGTCATTTTAACTTCATGTGGGCGATGTGAGATTTGACCATACTTTCAGGGGCACTAGTGTAATTAAGTCTATAAATAATGACCAATGTGGGTGTTAGTTGGATTGGCCCAGACCTTTGGTGTGCTCCCAAGTGACCCTAGATTCCGCCCCCATTGAACTTAGCCTAAATAAATTCATGAACATCTTGAAAATGTCCGTCTATGTAACCTTCATAATTCTTTGTAGATTCTCTGCTTCTTTTTTCGGTCAGAAATTTCTTCGTAGATTTACTTTCACATATAAGATGGCAGAATTGCTATGAAAACTGATAAGATATGCAAAAAGCTACATATTTTGGAAATAATTTATAAAATTTATTTACCAAACGTATGAATGAGAATAACTAATTACTCAAGCCTTTTCATTCATTTAGGACCAACTAGGAAAATCCTTTTCAAAAAGGACCCCAAAAAAAACAAAAAAAAAAAAACTATAAAATCATCACGTCTTCTTTCTTGATCTGTTCCATGCCTGCTATAACTAAGTTTCTTCTTCTCCTTCCTTGATGTGTTCCCTGTTAAAGTAGAACTCAACTAAGAAAAATGTACGTAAAAAAAATAAAAACCCCATAATCGAAATTCGATTTTCGATAAAAAAAATTTCTTTCCATATAATGGAATTGAAAAAAAGATAAGCAAATTGTATGTATGAGAAAAACAATAGAAATCATATATATTACCTCAAGTCCACATGAGTATAGAGCTCAATCAAGAAAGTATATAATTGCAACAACAGTTTTGGGAAGAACGAGCTAAGCTTTTCTTCCATTTCATTTTGTGTCTGCAATAATTCCAATATAATATTAGTAGTAATAATAATAAACTTCTATAATTAATAAAAAATAAGAAAAATTAAAGAGATAATTTGTATAAATATATACCAGATATTCTTGATTGAACAAATTATCATTAACGTCGAGACAGGCATTGCTTGAGAATTCAAGTGCACCCCACACATTGTCGTCATATTCTCTTTCACTCAAGACACATTGAAAACCCTTCAAGTCACCCACAGCTCCTTTGATATCAACTTTCTCGTTCCATCGGATGGTGAACAAGTCTTTGATGTTTTTGTTTTCAGCACATTGAACATACTGGAGATGCTTTAGACCATCAATGTAATAGTGAAACCTCTCCGTCGGAGACCGGAGAAGGGGATGGTAAATTATTTGTTCAAATCGGTACCTTAACGTAAAAAAAGAAAATGTTTTTAATGAAAAATAGTATAATAATAAAAAACAATAAATAAATAAATCGGCAAAGTTCTTACCACTCCCTTTCGCAACGGATCATGTTAAAAAAGTGAGATAGCTCTACTGTTCTTCTATGATTTTTCCCCAATATTGCTTCCATTAAAAGTACAAATTCTTGCCTATAACTTCTCAAAACAGTTTCAGGATTTGCAGCAATTGGGATATTGGCTTCATAGTTTTCATCGATTTGTATATTGTCAACATCCAAAGGGCCACGCATTATACCTTTCAACTCCAGTCGGACGATGGACTTAATAATAGACCTTCAAAAATAAAATTAAAATATTAATAAAGAAATCTTTATAATAAAAAGTTATATTGTAGTTTGAAAAAACAAGTGTAGACTAAAAATATTACCGAATTATTTTTTGATACACATCTTGAACACGATTATTCTGCCATGGATCTGTCTTTCCCAACATCTGACTTAAGGTGCAAGGAGCAAATTCGTTTGGTGCCATGTTTTCTTGGTAAAAACCTGATCACAGTAATGTCACAAAAAAATAGTTCAATATTCATTGAACAAGAAGGGACCAATTATAAATAATAAAAACATCCTTTTTAGTACTAAAAGGATACAGAAAAACATATTTCTTTCGCAAATAACATCTAAGTTTTAGTATATTATATTATTTTGGTATAAAAGTTTCAAATAATTCAAACTAGGGTTCTTTTTTTCTTTTATCTTTTTTAAGGGATAGTCTAAGTTACAAGGGAATGGGGGATTCTCACATACACACCACGGGGTCATTGGGATTCGACCTGAGACCACTAATATGCAAATCAATGCCTTTTTCCATTTGGCTACACCCAATTGGCTTCAAACTAGGGTTTTAAGCCGACAAGTGCTACATCAAAATATATTGGAAGACAAATTGATTTATAAAAGAATGAGAGAGTGCAAGTTCTCAAAAGCACTAATAATTTTCTGGATAAACCGGAGAATTTATTAGAACGTACAGAAAAGAGGAAGACCTTAAAACTACAAGGCAAGGAGCCCAAGTGAAACAAACAACAACGTCACAGAAAGAGACCAATTCAATCACACAAAATACAAGAGGCTAGAACGAAAATTCAACAAGCGCCAAAATTATTTTGTTCAAAAACCCAAAAAACATCAAGAAAGAACTACCAAGAAGAGTTTAAGTGGCAAAAGGGCAAGAGAGGAAAGTTACCAGTGAGAAATTCCATACCTTTTGATCAGAGAAGAGTTGAAGTGGAGAGGAAAGAGATCTTAGGGATAATTGAAACAAGAGGTAAAAAGTGTTGAGTGATATATATAGGATGGAAATTGAATACACAAGTTACACAGCACACGACTTTCCCTATGCTTGTCGAACAAGGATTCCTAGTTTTGCTCTCCTCATCACATAAAGAAAGTGTTGCTAAAATAAATAAATAAAGGGATTTGCTTCTTTTTGTTTTTATTCTTTTTATTTTTGGAATATTTTTCATTAAGACGCCTTGTTCACCAAGAAGTAAAATATTAAATGGGTAAGGCATTAGGATTAGCCCAAAAAAGTCTTGGGAGGATAAGAACTTACCAGTCGTTAAATAGGTAAGTTTTTATCCTTGAAGGAGGGGTGAAGTAATGAAATAAGATTAGGAAGTAAAATTTTAAAACAAGCACATAAATCCGTCACTTCCTCAATGGACAAAACAATTGAAAATTTTGCAATATAATGACAGAAAAAATTATTTCTACTGCCCAGCTATTGGATCCATCCAGGATGTTAAAAGCATACGGATGTACAGGAAGTTCATATTCACATATCTAAGCAACCGCTAATTCATCATTGACTTTTACAACGAATTAATTGTTCAGGAGCAAAAACTACAAAGATGAAAGCAGATACAGAAAAGCCAAAGTTCACCTATAAGACCATCTCCGATCTTCGCCATCATCACTCTGATCAACATCATAATCAAAGTCATCACCATCATCATTCTCATCATACATATCATCTTCTAAAAGGTCATTGTCTTCTAAACCCTTCGGTTCTGAAGATTTTTCACTAGAACTCTCATTTTCTTCTGATTCATCATCGGAGGTGTCACTCTCTGATTCCTCTTCAGATATCTCTTCTGGATAATCATTGAGCGGGTTGTTTTCAGCTGAAAACCACCAAAATCGGTCAGAACTTGAATAAAGAGAACTTTTAAAAATAGCATATATGAAAGATTATTTATGATCACCATTAGAATCATCAGTATCATATTCTGATTCATCAGGCCCGTCATATAAATCCTTGTCATCAACTTGTACCCTGAATCAAAGTTATTAGTTAGTTTCAGAAAGAAATAAGGTTGAAACTTAACAATGTAGCACAAAGATACCTACAAGGGAAATGGCTTTGAAGAATCTTCAGTATCTATATCCATTTCCTCCTTCACAGCATACAAGTCATATACATACCCATCTTCGGATGCTACACAACACATAAGAGGAACCCATCAAACACTAGTTAAGAATATAATGAAAAAGCTGAAATTGATATATAATCTCCACAAGAAGCAACTGCAAGTGCAGACCCAGGACAATATGCTATTAAGAATCCTATTCTTCTACCTTTGCTCCAACTAATATCAAATATTAAGTGGATGATAGCACCCAAGGCCACTAATAATTCATTCACATGTAAAAAACAACCTTGTTTGGAGCTGTTAGCAGATAAATCTGATTCAATCTCCGAAGCAGCACTTGGAATGAACTCTCTCAGTAGAGGCAAGTAACTATTTAACATCCTCTGGTCCTCCAAAGATATCTCACTGCATTAAAAACATAGGGAGTATCATTTTCAACTAGTCTCTTGGAAATACGAAAGGACAAGAGCTCATGAGTTGAGAACTTACTCCTCCTGTTGCAACTCATTAGATCTTTCCTCGACGTCAACACGAACAACATCATAGAAATGACACATTTCATGTAATTTCTCATGTGATGTTTCTTTGTTTCCCTTTCTGCTCCTCCATATTTGTTCAAAACGTGCATTTTTCGCGACAACCTAACCGAAAGATCTTGAAATAAGACAGCACCCAAGCAGAAATTACAGAATAACTTTCACCAAATACATATTATTTCTTCTTTCTTATTCTCAATGTATAAGGTTAGTAGTGGTACAACTGCCTCAGAATACCAATATTAACTCTGAACAATGAATCAGAAAGTTGGCAATCTGACATATAGAAATATATCTAACTAGATGCACGTAACTTCAAGGGTAGGAAGATTTGAATTTATCCTAAATAATGGTTTAGAAATAGGCAAAGCTTAGAATACTCCATGATTGTTAGAAGATGAATTAATAAAAAAAATTCATGGGAACTAGCATAGAATTTAGAGTTTCATGATCTCAATTTGAAACACATAATTAGCAACTCACTGCCTGACAATGATTATTATCACTAGCAAAATATTGAACTAAGAACATATGGACAATAAGCAAAACAAAAAGAACACAGAGCATGAAAAAGTTTAATGCATCATTATCCTCTAAGAGATGAAAGAACAAATCATACTATTGGAAGCACATGAACAAGAGATAACAAATACTTTACTTGGTGGGTTAAATTATACAGATAACATATACTATGCCACGTACCTCCTGTTTCTGTCTAGCTTTAGACAAAATCTGATCTTGTTTCTGCTGTTACAAAGGTAATGAAAGTATAAGTTCATGCCATCTTAGGCTCGTAAATAGAAGCAAAGTTGTAATAAAGTGCACAAGACCAGGAGGAGAAGGAGACGTGGAGCTTACATTCTCCTTTTTAAAAGTATGTTTGCGTTCTTCATTCCTTGTTTTACGATCGCACACATCATTGGAATTTAGGTCCTAAAAGAAACAATGAGACAATTTCCCCAACTTCTTAGTAGTAGCGACATGAGAATCAAAGACAGCATCTTACATGGTACTCCTGAATACATGCTTGTGTGAAACAGTATACAAAACAAGAATAGTTATAGAACAAAATCAACAGGGGACTGCCATACTCACCACGAACGATTTCACAACATCAACAGTGGTGTGAAAGCTGCTTACTGTCTCTACATGCTGCACGAAAACCTTCTTGGTCTTCAATTCCTCTGCTGCATTAAAAATATAAGAAATCAGCACTGAATATTCCTGGGGTTCTAAAACTTTCCATCTACTTACGAAATCTGCAAAACTACAAATTCCTTCACTAGTTGAATGGAAACAACCATAAGTGGAAAAACAAGAAGAAGAAGAAGAAAAAAAAGCAACAATGTAGATTGCTAATAAATAGAACCTTTGATATCACCAGCTAATCAGATTCTGCAGACCGAATCATAATCCATTAGCAATATAGTCTACTTATAACATCAAATTATCCAACTACTCATAATTCTTTGTTCACCACAACTAAAATTATTATTATTATTAAAGAGAAAAAACAAAAAATGCTGTGTTTGTACACACACATATGCATAAAAGACAATGCTAGAGAAATAAGAGCAACATTTTTTACCCTTCGCAGCTAAATCAGACATTGAAAGGTTCTCGAAATCCAGTAACGGACGCTTCTGCGGCCTCTCATTGATTTCCAGCCCTACATTTAAAAAAAAGTTCCAACAATTATTCAGCAA